CGACCTCATCATAACTCTCAAATCGAGCGCACTGGAATCGCCGATGACTGATTGTTGTGCTTAGAAAGCCAACCACGTAACCCGCGAACTCCCAACTATCAGGGATGTACCGCCATGGATTCTTCACGTTTTAAAAATGATTTTGAAAAAATTTTTTGCTGGTCCGTTTTTTTAGCAGTGTATAGGGATTTTTGTCGCTGGTCCGCCTTCGAACTGCTTCTCTGTCGGGATCTATTATTTTCCGCGTGGGTGAACTCGTCGTCCGCCTTGATAGGACCCTCAAAACCGCACGTTTCGCTTCTCAGCACTCCGCCTTGGTAGAAATATCCTTCATGCGCTCCGTTCCATATCGTCGGATTCCTTTCTTGTCCACAACGGAAGGATGCACTGCAACACTGTCCCGAGCGAGCTAAGTCGTGGTGATCCTGGAGTTTCTTGCAGCAGCAGTTCGACAGCGAAGGTCATCTCACGGCGTGGGAGCATTGTGTAAAGTAGTTGCCTCTGAGAAAAACGGACCATGCGATAATGTTGTAGCAACTGTACTCATGTAGTGCCTTAACCGTTGCTAACACATGTATGCACAACAGATGAAGTATTGTATCACTATAATGTGCAGTAGGTCATTGAAATGTTGTCATGTTTTTTTGCCCGATATGGGTCAAAAGTTTGCTCTGGAAACTCTGCCAGGAGGGACACCTTTTCCCATAAGCATTTCTTCACAAACTCACTCCATCACCTCACTCACTTGTCACTTCCTCCGCCTAGGGTAGCTCCAATCAGCTCTTCTCTAAGTTCCCGACCCCTCGGAAACTTGCGTGCGCAAATTTCCAACGGAAACTGAAATTTTGGTCCTATTCGCACTAACCCGCTCACAATCCCTGAATTTCGAGGCAAAACGACCTTACCATTGTAATCAGCACCCTTGAAAACCCCTGTAGGCGAGTTTCCCAAGCCAAAACTGGTTCCCCCTGAATAGGCGAATTTTGAAGCTTTCACGCGAAACCGACCTCACCACTGTGATCAGCACCCTTGAAAACCCCTATAGGCGAGTTTCCAGTGAAAACTAAAATTTTGACCTAAATCGGGTCTGATCAGATGCTCGAAAAATTGTTCTCATTGATGTCATAAGGATAAATGTGCTATAAATTGCAGTAGTTGTCCGTAGTACTGCATCGTTATTCACGTGGGCAGTTGCGTGTCAACTTGAACAACAGTACGTGGAAATGGTACTGGGCAGCACTCTCTGATTAGGAGCTAAGGAGGTCTGCATGGCCTGCATGTTATCGCGCCTGCTTTTGTACCGCGGCAGGTCCCTCAACAGTCCGCCCAAACTTTACGGATTATGACTGCATTGATGTTCTGAGCAGGTACGAATGACGGTCCGAGACTGAGGAAACTCAAGGCATTAGCAGAAAGCTGAGCGCCGCCTAGAACAGTGACTCTTGCCGTTTGATCATCATTTTGAGCATTATCGTTAGCAGAGCGGTGGTCGGTAGAGTTGTCATTGCTATTATCAGAGTTTTCCTGAAGTGCACGCATAAGTCGGTCGTATTAGGGTGTCCACAAAGTTCGTTGGCCATTCGTTTTTTCAGAGCTTGTAAAGATAACTCACCAAGTTGAACTTACCGGTCCATGATATAATCTCCATGCATACCCACCACCTTTCGCCAACGATCGGGTAGAGAGGCAACTCCATCCTCCCAAAAGCCGGCCGGCCGCGACTCGGCCCAGTCCTCGATCACGTCCTCGAGGTCGCGCTCGTTCTTCAGCTGTTTTCCGTCCAAGAAATTTTGCATGGACCGGAAGATGTGGTAATCGCATGGACTGATGTCCGGGCTATACGGTGGATGCGTGATCGTCTTGATGCCCAGCCTGTCCAGGACGGCCTGAGTATCTCTCGCTTTGTGGGGGCGCGCGTTGTCCCAGAGCAACCACGGATTTGCAAGTTTCTGGGACAAGGCGGCAGCTTTCACCTTGACCTCCTGCAATTCTTTAGAGAGGGTCTCTGCCGTCACTGTGGCATTGTTGGGTAGGATGCTGTAGTGGACGACGCCGTGGCGAGAGAACCAGAATGACAGAAGGCGCTTCTTTCCATGCATATTTCTCTTTGCACGGCTTGGCGGGGGCGCATCGAAATCCACCCAGACTGGTTTGTTGGCAGGATTAGAGAAGTAGACCCACTTCTCATCTTGGCAAATGAGGGAGTCCAGAATCTTCGTCAGGCCTCTGAGTCTGAGGTTGTCGGAGCACACCTCAACCCGCTTCCTTGCCTGTCCCGGCGTAAAGTCGTGAGGGACAACTCGACGCTTCTTCGACACTTTGCCAGGACTTTGTGGAT